CAAAATACCATGTATGTCTTATTCGATCACTTCCACCATACTTATCCTACCTTTTCCTTGCCTTTGTGCCTGTCTATCTCTTTTACATCTTTGAAGCATTCTTCTGTTCCCCCTCTCGAAGTTGTCACACTTTGATGTTCCTCCTCCCCTCTGTGAAGCCTGAAGTCAACTGAAGGGCTAATGACAAGTATCATAAAGCCCACCATTTGAAATAAGTAGAAAAACATTTCATTTATTTCAATATCATTATTAATTATTCGAAATAGGACAGATCTTGATAATTTACTCTGAGGAGGATAAATATGAGGAAGATAATTTACCTACTCTTTATTGAAATCAAATAGAAAAATTTGCATTTGTACTGAGTGCAAAAACTTACTTTAAGTACGGAAGTCTAGTTTCAAATAAAATCGTTTTTCTCAGATAGAAAGCTACAACAATCGAATTCACTTATCTCAATGGCCTAGGTTGATACTTGGTAAATCATATTTCAGCGGATCGTTACATCAATAGGTAATCAGTAATCACCATAGCGAGATCTCCCAGTTTGGAATGTTTGCGTTACCCTTGCAAGATAGCAGCCCTTATAGGCCAGTGGAAGATGCCAAATGCAAGGAACCACGAGTCCTGATCCAGCCGATTTCTGGAAAACTTTGTAGCCGCTTTTTTGTTCTGAAGAGGTCTATTTAATTTTGTAGCACCCAAATGATTTAAAGCGCAGTTTTATTTATTTCATCCTTGGGTTTCCGGTTGAGCTCGTTTTTCTCGATATTCAGAACTCTTGACCTTCAAGGTAGCCCTTTCCTTGATCAGTTTAGTCTTATATCCTTTAATCACGTGAAAATCACGACCAAAAAATTACGGGGTGCGGATAAAGGAATGGTGGATGCTCTCTGCAGCATTTTATTCAAAACGGAGAGAAGTCTAATCATTCGAAATTCTATGAAGCACGATTATGCTTCCCAATTCCAGGATAAAATATACAGAGATTATGATTTAATTGGATCAAAAAATTAGTTATATCAAACTTTCATTGATTTGAATTAACTGTGAGCCTAAGAGCGTAGCTGCAGATAAGAAAATTTCTGTATGGAAGTAATCACAAAGAGCATCCATCAGAAATCATCCAATGGCGTAAAATTTACTCAAATAATTTTAAATGTGCAAAATTAAAACTTCACCCTAAGTTTTCACAACTGTTCTAAACTAAACTATATTCCGCTCCTGGGGTGCGCGATAGACTTACCTCCACGTGGTGCACCCTGGGCAACGTATATTCATACAGCAAAAATGTCTATTAACCGGCAGTTGACTTCTCACTTCAAACTATCATCACCTCACTCTATGCCATATTCGACTATTTTCACAGTACTCACCTCACATTTCATCTACCTTTGTGTTTGTCTCTTACATCTTTGAAACACTCTTCTGTTCCCCCCCCCCTCTATCGACTTTTTCACTTTGATGTTCCTTCCCCTCTGTGAAGCCTGAAGTCAACTAAAGGGCTAATGATAACCATCAAGACGCCTGCCATTTGATATAAATAAATAAATAAATAAATAAATTTTAAATTTGCAAAATTAAAACTACTTTCATTCTTTTATTTATATTTATATAGGAGGTGTTTCATTGTTTACGGGATGAAAAATGCTTGGGCTCTTTCATAAGTATAAAAAATTGCAATTTTTGATAAACTACATATCTGATGAGACTAAACGTTCTACTATTTTCCTTAAAGGTATCTGTTTAGAGTTAAAACAACATTTGTACCCTTCAACTGCAAAAAGCGCCTTTAACAGAACCAATGTCACCGCGCCGTTGTCAGAAATAATAACCTTTTATCTTCAAAGTTGCCTGAATAGCGTCAGTTGATAATATTTTCGAAGTTTATTTACTAATTTCACTAAACATTTTTGGCCTCTATGCATTAGTGCCATTATAAATAGATAGATCTGTAGAGGATTGCTACCTTATTAAAGCCTGACTGACTCAGAAATCTCTGTGGTAGACTCTCCTGACTCAGAAATCTCTTTGGCAGATTCTCCTACATCTAGACCGACTCAGAAATCTCCATGGCAGATTCTCAAACATCTAGCTACCGGCTCAGAAATTTCTATGGCAGATTCTCCAACATCTAGCTAGGAATCAGAAATCTCTATGGCAGATTCTCCAACCTCTAGCTAGAGAACAGCTAAGCTATAGCTCAGCTATAAAGAAAACAGACGTGTAGCACGGAGCGCGTTTATATCTGTGGCAGATTCTCCTACATCTAGCTAGACTCCCAGAACGGCAGATTCTCCAACGTCTAGCTAGACTCCCAGAACCAGGGAGATTCTCCTACATCTAGCTAGACTCCCAGAACCAGCTAAACCATAGCCCAGCTATAAAGGAAACAGACGAGTAGCACGGAGAATTCTCCAACATCTAGCTAGACTCCCAGAACAAGCTAAGCTATAGTCCAGCTATAAGGGAAACTGACGTGTAGCACGAAATGCGTTTATTCGGTACGTATATTGCATATAAAGGAAACAGATGTTTAGCACGGAGCACGTTTATTCTACAGAGGATACAGACGTGTAGCACGGAACATTTATTCAGTAGCGGAAAACAGACGTGTAGCAAGGAATACGTTTATTCGATACGAGGAAACAGGCGTGCAGCACGGACCACGTTTATCCAGTACGGATATTCAGGATCTTGGGGTGCGCGGTAGACCTACCTCCACGTGGTGCACCCTGAGCAACGTATACCCATACGGCTAAAAGGTCTATAAATCGGCCGTTGACTTCGGACTTCAAGCTACCATCATCCCACTGTATGTCATATTACATCACTTCCCAGCACTCATCTTACCTTTTCTCTATCTTTGTCTGTCTGTTTGTCTCTCTTACATCTGTGAATCACTCTTCTGTCCATCCTCTCGGATGTTGCCCATTTTGATGTTTCTCCCCTCTGTGAAACCCGAAGTCAGCTAAAGGGCTAATGATAACTGTCAAAATGCCTGCCATTTGAAATAAATAAATATATTCAGGATCAAGTGTACACGTAGGGGGCTTAATCATGATCAGGATGGGGGATTAGGTTAAACAGAGGTTGATGATTGGTCACTGTTTGTACGGTCACTGCACACAGAGTTGTACGGCTGCACCTCCCAATCCTGGCGAGCAGACATGCAGGCATACGATGACGCACACAGTGATAACGTGTCCCACAGATCTTTCGTTTTATGTAGTTTGATACCATCTCTATTTTGCAATTGATAATTCAGTGGTCATTGCTCATATATGAAAGTTTATAAATTTCAAACTTTATTCCATATCATGTAGGGAATTCATTGTTTGCTTAGTTTTAATCCAGAACGATGCATATCGGGGTGTCTGGCTGAGTTGTTGTCCATTGGATCATAGTAGTCTTATAATTTTCAAATCTCCGAATAGATATTAAAAAATTACATCCGGATATTCCATATTTATGGTTAAGGGGTGTGCGCTAGACTTACCTCCATGTGGTTCACCCTGGAGAACGTACTCTCATGCGGAAAAGAGGTTTATAAACTGGCAGTTGACTTCTCACTTCTAACTACCATGACCCGACTGTATGTCATATTCCCCCGCTTCCACAGTACTCAACTTGCCTTTTCTCTGCCTTTGTGACCGTGTCTATTAAATCTGTAAAACACACTTCTTTACTCCTCCTTTTTGTCTGCCTACCTCGTTTACATCTTTAAATCATTCTTCTGTTTCCCCTCTCTACTTTTTCTAATTTTGATGTTCCTCCCCTCTGTGAAGCCCGAAGTCAGCTACCCTCTGTGAAGCCCGAAGTCAGCTAAAGGGCTAATGATAGACTATCAAAGCGCCTGCCATTTGAAATAAATAAATATTATTTGTGCTATAAATCCTGCCATTTGAAATAAATATTTATGGTTAAATTAAAAATATCACAACTGCGTTCTCTGGCAGCAGACAAATGGCATTGATAATTAAGGCAAAAATATTATCTTTAATCAGTTATATTTTATAAATGAGTTTCGTAAAGATTTCATTCTTCGCATAAATGGCAGTTCAGAAACTGTAAATTAATCGTCATTTACAGAACAATATTTTTTTCTTTATAGGTGGCAAGTGCTAGATTATTCATTTTAATCTACCCATTAAATTTGCTATAGTGGAAATTCATTTGTCACTTAACACTACTTTTACTTTTCTTAATGAAACTTAGACAGCACAGCTAAATCATTTACGACTTTGAATTGAAAGTAATCATTGGCGTGAGTGAATACGGGAAATGGCGGATGAATGAAGGATTTGTGGAGTTTATTATTTAACTTTTAGTTGCGTAGAAATGACCAAACTGATAATTCCCTATTTATGATTAATTTCTCCTAAGCATAACTCATATGACAAAATGAGCAAGCTCATAGTACCAAAACTTTGATTAGCTATTAGATGACATTCTACCCTTTTTGAAATATAGGTCTGAGAAAGACTGAAGTTCAAAGAATATTTGACTTCATTCATATATACTACACTGAAGGGTAACATCGATTCATTCAAGTAAGCAACCAGGAATCAAATGAAAGCAGCAAAAAGGGTAAAATCAATTATCATCACTGAAAAAGTATTAATCAAAACATTGTGAGCACATATAATTAAAGCATAAAACCTCTGCATTTCAAATCACTGTAAAGTGAACATAATTTGTTTCCTCATTAATATATGCAAAATTTCAGATTGATTGAATTGTTTGATTGGAGAGAAAAGTATATCTTTCAAGAAAAACTAAGTTAAAAAGTTTCTCGAATTTGAAATAAATTCTATATTCGAAATGTAAAATAATTCTTTTAAGTAATGTATTAAAATGAAATGTTCATCCGGAATTGGGTTACATTGTGAAATACTTAATATATAATTTAAATAATTAGATGCAAATAAAATTTCGTTTTAAAGAGCGTTCGAGGTCACCCCTCCTCCCTTGATTCTCTTGTTTGGTGTGAATAGACTATGGTGTGTGCCTGTTTGTAAATATTAACGTTTTTAGACTAAAAAGAGGCGAAATAACGGACGCTCCAAAAAGGGCAGAGGTCACGTTCAGTTCGTTCGTTGTACGAACTGTGGTAGATGCTGTCCAAAGGATAAGGCTATCCGAAAGTATGTGGTCCGTAATGTTGCTGAAGCTGCTGCCGTTAAAGATTTAACTGAAGCGTCGGTCTACACTGGTAAGCTACATTTTAACCAAAACATGTTTTGTCATTGTTCTTGCTCTAATTTTATGAACATCTGTCCATAGATTACACTCTCCCGAAATTGTATGTAAAGTTACTGTACTGTGTAAGTTGTGCTATTCATGGAAAGATTGTTCGTGGACGTTCCAAGGAGGCTCGCAAAATTCGAAAGCCACCACAACGCCTTATAGCCCCTTTTAAGCGCAATAACTAAATGTAGATTCACACAAATAAACCTTCAGTGGTTACATTTGGTAGTTTTTTTTCGTTGTTTGGGGGGGGGGGGGGGGGTGGAATATTGATAACTGCTCGTTTTTATGGTTTCATTTAACAAAATTCTTTTTAAAGTGTGTATAGTTTGTTCAGTTTTACTTTTGTTGTAATTTTATTGCACGTGGCAACTTTATCAGCTATTACATGCACGTCGAATAAAGGGGTTATTATTATTTGTTTGAAGGTTGTCAGTATTGAATTCGGGAATTAGTTGTTGAAGATAGTGCTAAATCGGTTTGTCACTGGGATGTTAAGCGTATTTGCTTAAGTAGTCCTTTCGAGTTCGAAGTGCATCTAGGCGTAAGAGTAGATTGATTAGAGCTGGCTTAACATTATCAGTCTTGGCTGTTGAAAATTGCTGACGTTTTGCACGAGACGGTGTTGTGTGTGCAGTCGCGGTTTTGAATTTTTGCTCACGAGGGAGAGTGATGATCTGCCCTGGCCCGAAAGGCATAAATTGAGGGTTTATGGTCGGTGAACTGGCGTCCTTCCAATATATATGTTGGAAGTGCTTGACTGCCATGTAGATGGCGAGCAGTTTCCTGCCAAATGTGCTGTAACGCGTCTGTGAGCCGCATTGCACGGCTCCGACCTCCACTTGAGACTGTTTGGTGAACGAACGATGTCTATTGTGACCATGTGCTGAAATTACTGTTTAGCCGCATGTAGTTTGTCGGATGCAGGCTTCGAGCTCTAGCGAAAACTGGTTGCCCTTTGGTGCTTATGTGATGTCGAACACTGTGCTTTTGCTCCAAAACCTCCAATTGAAGGCGGAAAATGGGAACTTCAGACAAGATGTTATCGGAGAGGCTATTTAGAGCCTACTAGATTATCTTGTTATTATGAATATTTCTAATATGCATTTTTAAATTTTAACATTACATCGTAGGCGTATAGGTATAATTTATAAGCATAAGATTCGGGTTAATGTTTGTAATAGAATTTTAATGCGTTATTTTAATGTCATTCCACTAGAGTTTTGTAATTAAATTGTAAACCTTTATGAGTCCTGTTCATTTGGGATCTGAGTGAGAACTTCCGAGTGAACGAATACCCACTTAGTTCACGCAAAAAATATAGGTGGAAGATACTGCAAACCACTACATCGTAACTCCATTAGCTTGCCCACCTCCAACCAGTCCCATTTTAATAGGCTTTGGTTAGGAAATTGATAGGAAAACGGAGTAATGCTTTGTAATTCTTAGGTTGTGGATTATCAATTCAGTTTTGTCTAGTGCGTAATCCTAACACGATCAAACTAAACTATCTCAAGCGCCTTCGAGCAATCTGGAAAGTGCGGCAGTGTTTTGCGTTTGCGTTCAGGAGTAAATGAGTTTGTGGGCGGAGAGGCACTTCTACTAATCAATAATCAGCAGTCAGTGCAGAATTAGCGTACCCAAAACAGTGTTTCGTGCCTAAGCTCTGTGGCAGTCTTCCATGTAGAGGAGATATACCTCAGAATGTACAACACAAATATACATATTCTGCGTCATACATGCGCTTCCTACAAGTTGTGAGACAACTTTACCAATTTTGGGAGTCATTCCATACTGGGAACATTTTGGCATAGAGCTTACTTTGGATAAACCAAGGCTTATTCGTGTAGCGATTCTCCACAGGGTCTTTGACGTATCACTTCCGTATCATCGCCACGGTAGGTCATGGATTAACGAACGCAAATGCCATTCATCATATAGTATGTCATACGACAATTCGAATTCTCCATAATTGCGCATGCAAGTCCAGCACCAATGGCCTTTTCAATCTATTCCAATCAACTAGGCTAAAGTTCAGAAATGTGAATGAAAGTTCCAGGTCTGGTCTTTGAATTAGAATGCTTCTCTCTTTCCTTTCTGGTATGGCTCCTTCAAAGCAGACATCAAATGGAGTATGTTTGGTGAACCTGCACGAATGTCCTTTTGATGGCATATGAAAATCAGATTGATATAAGGCCTCATATGAAAATCACAATTATTGGCCAAATAGATGATTAGCCATTGCATTTTAATCCAAGTTACCATTGGCAAACACATTTTCAAGCAAAAATGTTACAATTTGAATGAAATTTATTCCTACCACCTATTGAAGTTATGGTTCAACCACTCAATGACGTATTAGAGATAGCATGGCTTTATTCCAGTAATACTAGCACATCTGTACTCGCATCCTTAATCAGTGAAGCACAACCAGAAGTATCAATACCATGAGTTTGTTATTAGTCTTTCCCCCAAAACGAGGCTACCTTCTCGATAGCATCAAAAATCATCAATTGGGGAAATGTACTTGCTTTAAAATATTTGTTTGGTGGGAATTGCATGAAGAGCATTTTACATCCAATGTAGCGTTAGGTTCACAAGAGTTTCTAAACCTGTTCCAAAGTTGGCTGTAAAGTGCATTCTTCTTTCATCGATTGACGTAGCGGCGGCGGCACCTTGTCATTAGTAAATTTTCTAAATTCTCTCTAGGTTGTTTGAGTACGAGGTACTGGTCAGACTGTCGAAAAGGCAATGCTTAAGACACCCATATCAGAGCAGTGCAACTAATTACTTTAACTTATTTGAAATTTGTTTCGTATAAATTTTGTGCAAATTCACTAATGTCTAGAGTGGTAAGACATGGGGAATATGCGAAGGCAATCATTCGAAAATTAACGCGATTTTATTAACTAACATTAATTTAGATTTGTATAGGACCTCATGGGCGTTACTAGTTACGTGGTGGGAATTTATCGCCTATATTGAACTAAGTACAAATTTTCATGGTTTTGGTATTCCCAACTTTCAAAAATTTTTCACGGTGAGTATTAATCAGAAATAAATTTGTATTGATTTAAATTGGATTTCATGAGAGTTGCAAGTCACGCGGTGGGGATTTATCGACTTTATTGATCTAATCGCAAATTTCCAAGGTTTTAGTTTCCTCAACTTTCCGAATTTTTATCTGCATATAAAAAGCTATCTGATCTAAGGCCTAACATTTATTTACTTCAAACTTCAGACTTTATGATAGTTATCATTATCCCTTTAGCTGACTTCGGGCTTCACAGAGGGGAGGAACATAGTGGCTTCACAGAGGGGAGGAGGAACATCAAAGTGAGAAAAATTCAAGAGGGGGAACAGAAAAGTGATTCAAGGATGCAAAAGAGATAGACAGGGACAAAGGTAGAGAAAAGGTAAGGTGAGTACTGTGAAGGTAGTCGAATATGACTTACAGTTGGGTGATGGTAGTTTAAAGTGAGAAGTCAACTGCCAGTTACTAGACTTTTTTGACGTATGAGTATACGTTGCCCAGGATGCACCACGTGGAGGTAAGTCTATCGCACACCCCCTAAGGCCTAATATAAAAGTCCATTTATTAGCCGAATAGGTGAATTGGCATTGCATTTTAACCCAACTTACTATTGGCAATTACATTTTTAAGCAAAAAATGTCACAAATTTGAAGGAACTTTAGTCTCCACACTTTTTCAAAACCCTAGGAACTGCAGTTATGGCCCAATTTCAACGGCCATCTCATGTTGTCACTCACTGGCGTATTCTTCTTTATTTTTAAGAAGAAAGTTTGTTTAACTAATAAATTAGTAGTCAACAAAATTAGGAATATCCAAAGTTTTTACAGATAACCTCACTTAATCCACAAAATGTCAATATCAAATGATTTTAGAGCTCCGGTAATAACTAATAATATCAAAACCAACTATTAATGCCGCAATTAAACTAGTAACCCCTAACAACAAATGTCTAAAACGCAAATGAACAAATCCGCAACCACTAACCTGAAAGTTTGGATCATTAATTCTAATCGTTACTTCTTTCAACTCAATTACTTGTAAAAGAAGAAATGAAGAACCTAGTAATTCAATTTATCCAATTTCACTTCCATCATTCTAAATGATGATATGAAGTTGCAGCTTAATTAGACCCTAACAGTATAGACTAGTTGAATTACCATACTAACCAATTTCAATGTGCATAAAAAGAAAATATTAAACTACCAAATATAGCAACTTCCAAAAGCAAACTAAAATACACCTCTCAGTTGCATATAAAATATAGTTGCTAACATATATACCAACACAAATAAAAAAAGTTTTAAACCAGAAAAAGATGCAGCAACTATTTGCCATCCCAAATTCAACCATACTCACGTACCTCAAGTGAGCACTACTCACAGAACGTATTACACCGCTTTCCACAAATCCATCCATGTCCATTTCCTATCCAAATTCACCTCCGCTTTGTTAAATTCTCCAATTTCTCCTCGTCATTTTAAGACCAAACTCGCCAATCTATGTCTTACGTAAAATACACCTCCACCTAATGGAACAAAATGGTAAAACTAAAAGTACGCCCAAATAAGAACATGGTTATAGTTACTGCTAACACAGGAAATCTAAATAATAAAAGAAGAGAAGTAAATAAGTGTCATTATAGTCTATCACAAAATGTAGTACACAATGGAAAAATAAAGTTTTTATGAAGGTAAAAATTCTAGAAAACACAAGAAACGGTCTTCTAATAATTAAAAATACTAAAGAAGGAATCAATAATCGAGTAGGGTAAATTAAGATCTGATAAACGGCCCGATTTCTGACACCCTACTTAGAGTAACGAAAAATAAAAAAATATATCCACTTGTGAAGTAATATTACTTGCCCTTAAAAACTAACTTGCTTAAATCAGAAAAGGAGGGACTGGAAGTAGAAGAAATGTACTCACAAAACAGCGACTAACTGATCGAAATAATAACAAGAATAGGTAAAGAAACGAAAATTTATATCTGAACAAAAACATGCAATTAATAAAGCATAACTTGCACTAATCGTAATAACCAAGAATCATAGGAAAGAAAAGCTGGAATAACTCAACCCATAATATGAACCTAGTACTAATCGATAGAAGATGACTAATGAAATTAATAAAAGTACTCCTAATAATGCTGT